ACTTAGTGTGTTTTGGGGATTTTTGTAAATAAAATTCTAGTATTTATTATACGTTTATCACTTTTTTTGCCCTTTTGTTTTCATCTTAATAAATTTTTAGTCAATTAGCGTATTTGGGATCTCATTTCTTATTTCTAGCATTTTCCCATTTGTTCCTTTTTCATCATAGTTTATTATCGTATTTGGGAGTATTTTTGTAAATGAAATTAGTTTCATTGTGCTATTTGGCGATATTTTTGTGTGTGGTTGAGAAGAATATTACAAAGGTAACCAGGTGATAAATTGGTTGTTGCAGCAAAGAGGAGAAGGCGGAAGAGCCTGAGCTGCCGAAGTACAGAGACCGAGCCAAAGAGCGGAGGGACGATCAAAATCCGGATTATGAAATTTCTGAATTGACGTCTTTCCATGCTGTTGCTCCCCCGGGAACTGGGGATCTTGGGTGCGATGCCAGTATTGAATCTTCATTTCACAGTTTTTCTTTCTTTTCCCTTTTTCAATATTCTTTGCATGTTCTAATTCTGAATAATCAATGTATTTAATTGCTATTTTGGATGATTTTTGTAGGTCTGCCTATGCTCAAAAGATATCTATAGAGAAGAGTAAATATCTTGGAGGTAAGTGTTTTGGGATTAATTATTGGTTATGCATCTAATATAGAATGTAAATGTACTGGGTCTCTCAAAATTGCATGGTGTTTTTTAGTTTAAACTCTTAATAGGGATGATGGAAAATAATCCATCATTTATAGGCAACCAAAAATGGAGTTACAATTGTCCTCAATGTGTCTCTGAGTTGGTGTCTTACAGCTGAGTTGCATCCGCTCTCTTTTAGGCCATTGTTTTGTTCTTTGAGCATTCCTTATCAGTCCCTTAAAGAAAGAGAAATATATTGATCTTTTCTCAGATCCAAGCTCAATTTGGTTTTCATAAGGGTTAATCAAGATTTTCTGCACCCTCTTAGTCGCTAATGGTAGAAGTTCTTTACACCTATTGAATTTGTATTGAGATGAACGCAGTAATTGCTGGTGAAACCTTGATGCGGACATCTCGGCCTATTTATTTTTACTTCATGTTATTTAATTATGTCTTTTTTCACTTTATTGGACTTGTTTAGCGGGTCTAATCCAAGCCCATGAATGTTACGTTTTATTCTACTATTTATATAGTTTCAGTTGTAATTACAGACAGACGATGATGGAATGAAATGTTATTGTGTTTGGCTTGCAGCCGTTTCCTCCCTCGCTTCCCCTTCCCTTCCCTTCCCCTGCTTTTCTTCTCCGGTTCTCCCCCTTTTCTCTCCGGTCTTCTCCTCCCTTTCTTGCTGCCTTCTTCTTCTTCTTCTTCTTGGAATTCTTCTTCTGGTTCCTTCTTTCATCCTGCATCAAAATAGTATCAGAGCCAAACCTAGCTTCCTTCATCCACTGCTGAAAATCCAATCGAGTTACCCTCTCGCTACCAACACTGCCGCCGTTGCAACTCTTGCCATCACACCTACCAGCCCTGCAACTTCCCAGCATCTCCACCATTACATATCACAAAACCACCCCCATATTCCCCCTAATCCACTACAACAATCAATCCACCACACAGCCAGTACAATCGATCTGTGCCCCCATGACCGACAACCAACCACGCACTTTTCAGCCCGTTAAAAAAAAAAAAAGACCAACAAAACTGCCCACTACCAACACAATCAGTCTCGCCCACTAAAACTCAATTCGAACCGCTGCCACAGTACCTTCACTCACGGCAAACTCCGACCTTCACTCCATATACACGACCTGCTTGTCTGCAACTGTTGCTGCAGCTCCATCCCTATGCCACCACCCCCAAAAAGCTTCCACTTTCGAGTTCACCAATCACCTACAAATCAACACCAAATCAACAAAGCCTCCTCACTCGCGACAGCAACCAGAAATTGAACAAATCCACCTGAAATTGCAGTAGCCAAATATTGATCCATCGCCTTTTGAACTCGGACCACTCGCGACCAACCAGAGCACCCACTTGCGACTGGCACCTCCACTCATGACCACCATGGCGCCAACCCCCCTGCAATTTCCATCGCTAGCCCTCGATTTCCAATTTTCCCTTGCGTGAGTCCTCTGAAATTACTCTAGGTTTGGTGTTAGTTGGGTAAAGTGTTAATGTTGGGCTATGTGTTATTATGCAGTGCATGTTTTGGGCCTCTATTAGTATTTTGGGCCTTGATTTGTAACCAGTTTATTTATTTGATTTTGTAAGTTATAAAAAAAAAAAGAAAAAAAAGAAAAGAAAAGTGAAAAAAAAAGAAGGTCTTTTCTATTATTTACAGGTGCATCTTTTATTTTGATTGATCACTTGATCTGACTTGGCTACTTCGACGAACGAAAGAGAAGTTCTTGTTTTTATTTATTATTACTTTATATTGTTGTTTTGTTTAAAATCGCATCAATTAAATTTTTGTGTTGCTGCTGATCTAGTTTTTACCTAAATTCACGTAATTGGATCCATTAACCTCGTTAAATCTCACTTTTACCTTGCTATTTTATGTGATTAGAATTTAACCCTTGCTTTGCTATTTTACATATACCAGCAGTATTAGCTTGTTATATTTGGATTTTAATCCCAAAATTTAAATTAAAAAAAAAGGGGCTCAAATTTTCATTTTCCATTGCTTGCACTTTTTGTTCATCGATCTCTTTATTGCATGTCATTAAGCTGCTATTACAGTGCTTGTAGTCACATATTGGTCGTCTTGTTACTTCTAGTTCCAGTACCTTAAACATGAACCCCTCACAATTGGATTCACTCACTCGACAAATAGCGGCTATTCAAACCCAAATAATTGCTACTCTTGAAGAGAGTAAGACCCTATCTACTAGCTTGAAAAATTTTAAACAAATCCCTCATTCGATTGATGTCCATAAATCTAAAGTATCCTATTATTGACATTATCATCATCAACATGATGATCAAAAATGCTTTTGACACGATCGCAGGGGTAGAGGTCAGATTCGTGAGCGAGAACGAGATAATTTTGAAATTCTTACTCAATGGAATGCCCTTAAACAAGGAAATCAACTAGTTACTGCGTATATCGCACAATTTGAGAAATTTCGATCCAAATGTCATATAATTGAGGATGAGACCACGACTTTGAGTAGGTTTAGCCAAGGTCTGAGAGATGATCTTAGGCGTGAGCTTTTCCTTCGAGGTGTCACTACTCTTGATCACGCTTACTCTTTAGCTCGAGATTATGAGTTGATTATTAGTACTACATATGAAAAGCGTGGTCATCGTCGTTCACCCATCTCATTAGCGTCACCTCATCATAAGTCTATCATAAAGCCTTCTCCGTCTAATGTTCCTCCCATTTGGAAAGATAATTGTAAAGGTCGTGATAGTCCAAGACCTTCTTCTCCATGTAGAAAGCGTATTGATAATCATCCTTTGGTTCCATTGGCTCCACTTCCTCCCTTTAAGTCCCTTCTAGAACCTCCCCCTTATAATGGTTCTCCAATTTTGGAAAATAAAGGTAGAATTTTTGAAACTCCAAGGTCTTCTTCTCACTTGCAGTGCATCAACTGTAAGGTCTTTGGTCATATTTCTTCCAAATGTCCTAATCGAACCTTAGTCATGGAAGAACGAAAGAATGTAATAGATAAGCCGTTAGAAGATCTAGTTTATGAACCTAAACTTGAACATTTTGATGACTTGGATGATAGTGAGGACACTTCCTTAGGTGGAATCCAAACTCTTCCCGAGACTTTAGATACTATATCCCTAATCTCCGACAGTTCTCGATCACATGTTATATGTCATACCCTTACCCAAGTTAAAGAGCTTGATGATGTCACTAGTCACCCTTGGAGAATCCAGTCGCCTGTGGTTAGCACTAAATCGAAATTTTCCACTACTGACCAACCTCAAACTGATGGTTAAAATAAAATTGCTAACCAAAATTTTGGCAATTTATTACAGTCTCTAGTCCGAAAAAATCTTGGGAATTGGGACTTGATCCCACTTACCGTTCAAGTTGCATATAACGATCCTGTGAACTGGTCTTTAGGTCTAAATTCCTTTGAAGTCATCCATGGTTGTGAATCTAGGAAACCTTTAGACCTTATTCCCATGCACCCACATGCTTCTGTGTCTATGTTAGTTGAGGTAATTGTATCACATTTTCATAACTTGCATATTGAGATCAACAAACAATTTGAAACAAGTAAAGCATTATATAAACCTCAAACTGATTTGCATAAACAACATTTTGAATTTAATATTGAGGATTATGTTATATTGCAAGTCTATAATGCTGGTCATTTTAAAATTTCAAAGCATGTTGGTCCAAATGTATATGTCAATGACCTTTTATCACATTATGACCACCACCCTATTTTATTTGTTACGGACTTCGATGTTTCCAAAGGCTATTTTAGCCCCTCTGATGACCCGTTTCTACTTTCACATGAGAATTCCCACACTGAATCTTTTGCAATGTCTGCTTCAATCCCACCCATCACAGCACACAAAAATAAAATTGATATTATTTTGGATGAACAAATTGTGTTGACCAATAATAGAGAGATTCAGTGCTTTCTTGTTCATTAGATGGATCGACTTGATTCTGATGATACATGGATTCCTAAAGAGAGACTTCAGCAACGCGAGCCAGTTTCTTTGGAGCTTTATCAGAGTCAATAAAATCCTCATTCACCTAGGTTATCTTGGTCAGCTCATATTTTTGCGAATAATCTACAATTGGCGTTGTCATCATTTGTAGAGTTTCGATATTTGATTCGTCGGAAAGATCGCCCTCCATGGAATGTCTTGAAGCATTTTTGGTATCAGATCGACTGCAGCCTTCGGTGATTTGACCACTCGACATATTCGAGTTTTTCTCTCATCTCGGGAGAGTTGATGTGGACATCTTGACCAATTTATTTTTACTTCATGTTATTTAATTATGTCTTTTTTCACTTTATTGGACTTGTTTAGCGGGTCTAATCCAAGCTCATGAATGTTAGGTTTTATTCTACTATTTATATGGTTTTCAGTTGTAATTATAGACAGACAATGATGGAATGAAATGTTATTGTGTTTGGCTTGTAGTCGTTTCCTCCCTTGCTTCCCTTTCCCTTCCCCTCGTTTTCTTCTCCGGTTCTCCCCTTTTTCTCTCCGGTCTTCTCCCCCCTTTCTTGCTGCCTTCTTCTTCTTCTTGGAATTCTTCTTCTGGTTCCTTCTTTCATCTCGCATCAAAATAGTTGATGCGGACATCTCGGCCCATCTCGACCTATTTATTTTTACTTCATGTTATTTAATTATGTCTTTTTTCACTTTATTGGATTTGTTTAGAGGGTCTAATCCAAGCCCATGAACGTTAGGTTTTATTTTACTATTTATATGATTTTTAGTTGTAATTACAGACAGACGATGATGGAATGAAATATTATTGTGTTTGGCTTGCAGCCGTTTCCTCCCTTGCTCCCCTGATTTTCTTCTCCGGTTCTCCCCCTTTTCTCTCCGGTCTTCTCCCCCCTTTCTTGTTGCCTTCTTCTTCGTCTTGGAATTCTTCTTCTGGTTTCTTCTTTCATCCTGCATCAAACCTGTTATCATTTTTCCATCTACAGTAATAATTTGACTGCTGTAGGGTGTTAATTTATTTTTTTAATAAGTAATCAAGTAATTTTATTAATCAACGGATAATACATAGAGGTGTATCATCCGTTTAAACAAGAAAGAAACGACTTGAAGTTAGGCAACCCTTCTATATGATTGGTGGCCGCAACATTAAACCAATCATACAAAGTCATATAAAACAATTCTCTAAACTGCTCTGTATGTAGGCTCTTAATTTAGTTGTTTTTTCCCCCAGAAAGTGCCTTCTCTTACATGGGGTGTAATGTCATGCAGGTGATGTGGAGCACACTCATCTGGTGAAAGGGTTAGATTATGCTTTACTTAACAAAGTGCGAAGTGAAATCGACAAAAAGCCTGATATCGGAGAAGAAGCTAATGGAAAAGCGACGTAAGTGGCTTGAGTGAATGTTTTATATTTTGTGAAAATTGATATTCTCTTCTCTTTATCTCTCCTTTTATTCTGTTTCAGAATAAGTATTGATCAAGTTATCTTATATTTGTTTAATGTTTGAACTCTTTTTATGCCTTTCTGTTTATGTTTGACTACTGTTAAGGAAATATGTTGCTCAGAAAGAAGAATATACTTCTTGGCTCCTTATGCAAAGGGAAAGCTTTTAGAATGCTAGTTATAGCTGTGCATGGATTTGGGACTCATTTTTAATGTCATAAAAAGAAACAAGAGACCTATTAGGAATAAATGTCAAACCGAAATACAGACTGAAAGCACCTACCTTATGTCTAGGCATATTGGTTTCAGTAAAAAGCCAAAGAGAGTTATGCATGTGCCTTCTTTAGTGGAAAAATGTTGAAAAGCATAATTGCTTTAACAACGGTAAGGAGATCCTTAAGCTTACAGCAAGATGGAGAGAGATTATACCAGGATCATTGGGGCAGAGAAAAGGTCAAATGTTGACTATTTTGACCAATTTTCTAAGAATGCATCTATGCAGTCACATAGGTTGTCAAAGAAAGGAAGCTAGTCCTGGAGGATGGATATGCCAGTTTTAAGACTGCCATAAATAACTCGAGTCTTAGCCTTTGTTTGGATTTCCTTTTGAGTTGCTAAAACTATAAGTTGCTAGATATGAGTGTTGAATAACTAGGTACTAGTTGTTGGTCCTATGAAATGTGTGGTTAAAATTAATATTTGACTTTAAAATTTAAGCTCTTAGCAACTAAATAGGAAACCCAGACAAAGGATTATGCTCGATAGTCATCTATGTCTTGGAAATATTTTCCATGGAAAATGAAAAAGGGAAAAAAATAGGGAACAAGATTCTTCTCAAAGAATCCTAATACTATTCCATAAAAGCTCTGATAAGGGTTTTAGTTAGAATACGTGAAGTAACATTCAACAATCTTTGCAAAGTGGTTTTAGGCTAGCAGAACACCTGCATTTATGCTACTGGAAATGCAAAAAATGACACACAACAAATGTTGTTTTGTTCCTATAACCAATGCTTCTGATTGTAATGAGAAATGCTTGCCTAAGCAATTATTGGGATTTATTTTATACATTAAGAGCGTCTCTTCTGTGAACAGAAGATCCAAGGAAGACCAACCTGTGTCATTCCGCACTGCAACAGGAAAGGTGCTTAGATTTACTGGAATTCGTTAAGTTTTAGAATGAAGCTGCTAATTTATTTGAAATTTTTCATACAAATTAACCTACCACTTTACTTGTTTCAGTCAGTTTATCAGTGGATCGTCAAGCCCCAAACTGTTATCAAGACCAATGAAATGTTCCTTCCTGGACGAATGGCTTTCATTTACAACATGGTAAGTTTTTGCTTTCCCTCATTCCAGTCATCTGTAGCATTTTTTAAATTTGTGTTCATTTAGCAAAGGGAATTCATGAGTTATATGTTTGGCGGGTGTTTTGTGATAAGGGTTACTTTAAGAAGTCCTTTATTTGGGTCAGACATACATAACCTAGTCTGGTTTAGACTCCTTGCATAGTTTAGTTGTTAGCTTCTCTGATTATGATCTGGATATTAGATTACTAAAAACTTGAAATATACGTTGACATATAAAGAGGAAGAACAGAAATACACGTTTTTTAAATCCCTATGGGGCTCTGTTGAGGGGGTGTTAGTATGATAGATTTTTTTGTGATCTGGTGCATTGCCTTCACACCTTGACCAGGGACTGAGGCTCCAGGTATGTGGTGATCACCTATTCTTCCCACAACTCACAATTTCATTGGTTTTGTTACATCACCCAAATTCTTGTCATGCAGGTTTGCTTGCTTGTTTCATCTTGTGAAATGTATTTATGTTCAAGTGAATGCAATTATAGCATATCTTGTCCTACTAGTTTGGCTTTGTCCTGCTATGATGTTTCTTTTAGTAATATGTTTTGAATACAGAATGGGACGGCTTAAGTAACTGTTTTTTGTTTAGTGTGCGCCTTATAGAAACGATGCATACACAAGTGTCACAGACTGAAAAATTCTTGCTTTTCCTACTTGTGCAAAAAATGATGTTTGGCAATATCTTCCAATAAAAAATCATTGTTCATATTTGCCAGGAAAGTGGGTTTTCTCATGATATTCCAACCACTCTGCACCGAAGTAAAGCTGATTGTCCTGTTCCCGAGGTAATTTTTTTTTATTTTTTTATTTTTATATTTTTTCCCTCCACTCTTAACAGTTTTCCTTTTATGTGTGATGATTTTTGATCTTTTTTTCCTTTCCGATTTCAGGAAATGGTTACGGTTAGCGTTGATGGTTCTGTTTTAGATCGAATTGCTAAGATTATGTCATATCTTCGTCTTGGATCATCAGGGAAGGTTCTGAAGAAGAAGAAGAAGAAAGAAAAGGATGGAAGAGGTGCTCTATAATATGCATATTTTTTCCCCCTGAACGAGGTGTCAATGTTTTGATTTTTATGAATAAAAATTTGCTATAAAACTGATTATAATATACACTTGCACTGTGCTCAATGTCTTATTATTTAAGCCGGACGAGCAGATAAATTTCTGCTTGCAAAAAGAACAGGGAGAATTTTTATAATCAGCATGATAGCTTGTTCACTTCAAGTTCCCTGCATTTGATCCTCAAGCAGGATGTGTTTCTTTTGAATTGAATATTTAGATGATTTTTAACTGAGGATACCTCATTTTGTTAAAACTGGAATATATATTTTTACTCCTGATGCTTATGCTCTGCACTTGTATATGCCTCGATTTCATTATCGTATTTTAGGGGTGTACAATTTTGTCAAATTCAGGCTATAATTCACTCCCTTTGTTTGCGAATGTTTATGCTTTTATATAATGTAGGTGATTTTGAATACAGGAAAGCTATCAATTGTGAATGGGTTCGATGAAGATGAGAGCGTGTTGAAGTCTGAAATACTGAAGAATCAAAACGTAGGAGAAACCCTGCCACCACCTCCCAAAAAGAATTATCCTGATTCAAAAGAGAAACCGGGACCAACTGCTGTGAGGAAAGAAGAGGAAGATATATTCGTGGGGGATGGTATCGATTATTCCATTCCCAGTAAGGATATGAGCCAAAGCCCAATTTCGGAGGATATGGAAGAATCTCCTCACAATAAAGAGAGGACTTCCTATTTCAATGAACCTGCCTATGGCCCAGCTCCAACCACCGAGCCATCTCATGGTTGGCAACAAGTGGTGAGTGTTATTTGGGTTTTAGCTCTTGAAGGTAACACTAGTATGATTCCTTGCATGACTTGGAAATTTCTTATACTTGAGACATTTTTTACTCTTCTCCGAGTGGCAACTGATGCTTGACTTCTAATTTCTTTTCCTTCCATGTCGACTGCTCCATTTTCAACTGTTTTCTCAATGTTTATTTTTCCATGTTCAGAATGGTTATGACGCTTTGCAAGCACAAGCATTAGCTGGTGGTTATCAGGGAGAGTGGCAAGACTACCAATATGCTGAGCAACTTTCATATCCGGAGCAATATCTACAGCAAGACATTCAGGCATACGATATGCAAACTGGTTTAAATGTTCAGCAGGACCCACGATTCATGACTCAAGAAGAGAAGGACAGGGGCTTAGGATCGGTGTTCAAGAGGGATGATAACAGGCTTCAGCAATTAAGGGAGAAAGACTCTAGGGAAAAGGATCCCAATTTCATATCTGATAGTTACTCCGAATGCTATCCTGGATACCAAGAATATAACCGGGAGATTGTAGACAGCGACGATGAAGCTGATTTGACAAAAATGGATATGGGTGGACGAGTAAGTGATTTTTTTTTGGTCTTTGAAATAAATGTCTCTTATATAACTCATTAAACTTCTGAATATGGTGGCCAGCCGTTCTAGATTGACATATCATATAAATATCGTGTTATCTAAGGGTTGTGATGAATTTTTCATTGAATTTTCTTATAGGCCAAGGGACGCCTTCATCGGTGGGACTTTGAAACAGAGGACGAGTGGGCAAAATACAATGAGCAAAAGGAAGCGATGCCAAAAGCTGCATTCCAGTTTGGTGTGAAGATGCAAGATGGTCGCAAGACGCGAAAACAGAACAGAGAACAGAAACTTTCTAACGATCTTCACAAGATTAACCAAATACTGGCCAAAAAGAAGGAGAAGGGTGACAAATTTGATGATAGCAGAATATATGATGATGAGTCACATCCAGGAAAGAAACTGCGTGTCTGATGGAGTTCACCGTTTTCATTTTTCCTTTTCTTGCTTTTATTTGTAGCGTCATACGTTGTTACTGCTCCAGAATTTGAACTGGACATGTCACAATCTTATTTCTTTTGTTACTTCGTGAAATTATGGTCTCTCTCGTGTGCGCAAAATTCTCCTAAAAATAAAGATCCTTTTGGTACACTGTATTGTCTAGGATTAAGGTGAATTATGGTGTATTGTTTTAATACGATATTGTTTTAATACGACGCGACGTACTAAAAAATGTACAAAATATCGAATTTTTTTAAAAAATATTGTTACAATTAAGTTTTCTTACCTATAATAATGAAATAAATTGGATACTATTTATGCCAAACAATTAATAAGATTAAAAGTTGTTCATATTTGGGGTAGGACGCGTACCGAATATAATTTACAAGTGACATCTCACGTGACTAACATCACCACGTGCTGGGCCTAACTTTTATATTTTGTTCATTGGGCTACTGGGCTTGGAGATGGACTTTGTTTTAGCCCACATATCTGTAACCAAAATAGGCTCCACAGGCTTGTACAGAAAACCCCACGACGCGAAGTTATATAAATATACGAAAAAGCCATAAGGGCCAGGGCCAAGCCCAAAGCAGGGTTGATAAGGGTAAGTGGAATGTAATGCCCCAAAATTGGGTTATCTTAAAGGATATTCATGTTCAAGGCTTCAAGCTCACACGAACCAATCAAAATCCGTGTTGCTTCAGCAAAAACAGAATCATTTTCTCATCTTCAATTCTATCTAATGCGAAAATAATCAGGTATTAATTTCTATGTATATTCTTTTAATTAATTATCAACTCGTCGCTTATTGCTATTCAATTTGGGATCGTTGTTTTATTGATATTCATTTATTTACTTTTTAATTTTTGTGTCTATTTTCATATAACCTAGAGAAGCTAAACCCCCAAATTAGGATTTCATGAACTGGGTAGCTCAATATTACTAACCTGAAATATATTGATGGTTCAATCACTTTAATTTCATTATTACTGTATATAGATATATTGATACTAGTTGAAATATTTTGATTTTTTCTTTCACGTCTGCGTGATTCCTGTTGATTTTACTTTTGAGAGTGCTAGTGATTTCGCATATTCATTTTTTCATTTAATTTCATCTCTGCTTTTAAAAAATTTAGCTTGAAATTTGTGTAATTTAAGTTTTTTTTTTTTGGGCTTCTGTTTAAAAATATTTTTTCATTCTTTTATTTTAGTTAGAGTTCTGCTTCATTTTGTTTTATTTCATCATGTTTTAGTACGTGGTTAGATATTTTATAATGCAGATAATAACTGAAAAATGTTAAAACTGCCCATATTTTATTTAATTTCTTCTATACAATTTCAGTTTTGAGATTTTCTTGTTAATTGGCACTATTCACTATTCACAGCGGGGCATGATTTATGGCAAATTCTGAAGGGAAATTTTCATGCTCGTCTCTTTCCAAAATGGATAAAGAGAATAACAGATTTAGCCATGTAGATGACTTTGATGATAGTACCTGGGATCCGTTAGAAGGTCAGAGTCCAAAATCCTTGAATAAAAAAGTTTCCTATCCATTTCCTGTTGATTCTGAAGATTTTGTGGATAGAGGGTATGATTCAGGCGATGATAACCACAACTTTCAGCAACAAGATGGCCTTTCCGAGGTCAACTTGAGAAATTTATTGAGTGGGGCATTTGCTATTTTGTGTGGGCGTAACAAAAATCATTCTGTTGTAAGCAACTTCCCCCAGTTACCCTCTTCCAAAACTTCATTTCTTGGATCTTCTAAGAATGGCGAGACATTCTTGAATGCTTCAGTATACATACCGAGTGCGCCTCCTCTTCTTGAGCCAAATGCTTTCAATCACACTGCTTACAAGGAGGTGTTGGAAGCTGAACCCCCTGAGTGGCTTCCAGACAGTTCCACTACAGTTTGTATGCATTGTAATGCTCCTTTCACAGCTTTGACTCGTGGAAGACATCA